AGTCTTTAATTTTCTTCAACATTGTAATTTTCAGTATAAAAACCTTGTATTTCTGTTTAAAAAGCTATTCTAGGGGCATGTGGGTGGCTCAGTAAGTTAAGCTTCTGGAGCATGTGGGTGGCTCAGTCAGTTAATTGTCTGTTGATTTCAGCTCAGGTCATGATCTCACAGTTGGTGAGATCGTGCCCCATAGGGATATGCACGGACCGCGCAGAGCTGGCTTGGGATTCTCTCTCTCCCTCTCTCTCTGCCCTTCCCCCACCTGAAGGGCACATCTGTTAGCACTGAATCCTTTTAATTTTCGTTTATCTGGGAATGTCATAACTTCTCCTTCATTTCTCAAGGATAGTTTTGCTGGATACCCAATTCTCAGTTAACATTCTTTTTCCTTTAGGAGTTTGAATATATCATCTCACTATATTCTGGTCTCTGTGGTTTATGAAAAGTCAGCTATGACTTACTTAGGATCCATTACATATAATGAGTTGTTTTTCTCTTGCTGCATTCAAAATTCTGAAGTCACTTTGACGATTTGATTATTATGAGTCTAGGTTTGATTTGAATGTCTTTTGAGTTTATCCTTTTGGCATATATTGATCTTTCATGATGTATAGATTAATATTTTCATCAGGTGTAGCAAGTTTTGGCCATTATTTATTCACATATTCTTTCTGTCCTCTTCTTTGACTCCCATTATGTTTGTTATCTTTACTAATTCTTTTTCATTATCGTATAAGAGAACTTAAGGTTGGGTATAGTACTGGCTGAATCTCATAAGTAGTATTCTTGTTTTGTTGTTTGTTAAATATGTTTGATCATAATTACATTTCTTTTTTGATTCCATCATTTACTGTGATGCTTCCTGTTGATAACTTCTGGTTTGAACTGCCTTATACATACATGATATGTGTTATATAATTATGTATATATTACATATTAAGTATGTAATATATAAGCTTGTGTTTTTTATTACATATACAATTACATATACTATATATATATTGTTTTATTGCACTGTGATTAGTGTGGTTGCTGTCCTTTTGTACATACCGAGTTCTTTTAAAAATTTTTTTAAAAATTTTTTAATGTTTTATTTATTTCTAGGAGAGAGAGAGAGACAGCGTGAGCAGGGGAGGGTCAGAGAGAGAGGGAGTGACAGACTCTGAAACAGGCTCCAGGCTCTGAGCTGGCAGTCAGCACAGAGCCCGATGCGGGGCTCAAACTCACGAACCGCGAGATCATGACCTAAGCGAAAGTCGGACGCTTAACCGACTAAGCCACCCAGGCACCCCATTGTACATACCGAGTTCTTAATAACTTCCATAGAGCAAGTGCTTCATTGTTACTTTTTAAAAAATATCTTTATTTTCATGTGCTTATTCTTCCAGGAGACCCATAGAAACAATTTGTTGAGTTCTCACCATGAATACCATTGGAATTGCAGTTGGAATGGCATTGAATGTATAGATTAATTTTGGAGAGTGATCATCTTTATAATCTTCTCCTACATGAATGTGGTATGTTTCTCCCTTTATTCAGATCTTAAGTATTGTGTATGTCTGTTCCACTTATTATCTTCAATATTTTTTCCTGGTTTCTGAAAGAAATAGGCAGATGTCCTAGGAATTGAGATTCTGTTGGGAAAAGTAGAGAAGATGTCATCTACATAGATTAGATTCTTCAGTATAAAAGGTCATACAGAATGTATTTTTTTTTTTTTTTACATAATGGTACCATTTCTTCCACATGGCCCTAGAAGTCTCCATTACTTATAATGTTCCATATCCTTTTTTGTACAGAGGTGGTTTCTAATATTAGGAAAACTATGTAGTAAGCCTTTTGTTTTTAGTGCCATCAGCATCCCTTTGACGGTCTCCTTTCCCATTTAGAAGTGCTTCCTCCATCCTATAAGCTTCTGGGAACTCAGTGCTCATTGTTTATAAGATATGTACCCATTAAAGACCTCCATGCACTCCAATATAAGGCTAACTAGTTGTGTTTTCACTACAAAAGTGTAGAATCAGAACGGTAAGAGTCCTGTTCCCACTTGATGGTTCTGTTTTCATTTTAAGAGCAACTCTCTTAAAGGGAAACTAGAGAACATTAGGATTCTGAGAAGGAACTGAACTTAGATCCTATGAGAAGCATAATAGGAATTAGAGCTGTTTAGATGGTTGGAGACAATTCCTCTAGAATAAGGAGTTTGATTATCTGTTTTCAGATCTTTTTTGGAGTCAGGAATGGTTGATTTTTGCAGCTTTTGAAGGCAGTTCTAATTAATGCCTTCAATGAATAAACAAATTTAAGAACTGCCCAAACATGAAAATATTCTTGGAAGTGATACCTAGTGGTTTCTATGACCACTTGGAATAGAATTTAAGAATTTCCCTGCATGTAATAAGACAATGGATTAAATGTCACATTTCTTTCTGAGATTCTGACTATCTCAGTAAGGACAAATGCAACTGATTATTATTGTGTGTCTACTTCACATGTTCCCATTTAATCATCACTACAACTTTCTGAGCATCCCAGAGAGGTAGAATAAATTTAAAGCAACTAATCTAATTAATGGCAGAGTATACGTCCTTTGCCTCTCTTCGCTAGTGTGTCTTAACTTACAATAGTAATTCCTTAAGTTTGTACAGTGCTTTATCATTTAGAAACCTTTTGCAAACATGGTTTTATTTGACCCTTAAAAAAATTTGGTAAAATTGGAAAACCGGACTTCACATATCTGTTTTATAAGTGGAAAAACATAGGTTTAGAACCTCTTTTTTTTTTTTTAAAGAAGTTTACTTATTTTATTTTGAAAGAGAGAGCAAGAGCGGGGGAGCGGCAGGGAGAGAGAGAGAGAAAATACCAAGCAGGCTCCGTAGTATCAGCTGAAATCAAGGGTCGGAGGCCTAACTGACTGAGCCATCCAGGCACCCCAGGTTTAGAAACTCCTTGAGTTTCTGGAGCAAGAGGGATCCAGGAGACCGTTCAATACAATTGCCATATTTTACAGTTGAGGAAACTGAGTACCAGAAGTAAAAATCAGGGTATTTTGTAGGTATTCTTTGGTTTGTGTTGAGGGATGTGGAAGGTTGGGCTAGATGATTTCCTGGGGTACAGAAGGGTTATGTTGCTTTTATCCATCCTTTAGTGTACGCTTGATTATTGCCAACTCACCACATTAGATTAAGTGGCATTTTAACAAGCATTGTTCAAAGGCAATAAAGGTTTAAGGAGAAACTTTAAAGCTTTAAGGAGCAAGCTATGGAAGATATTTTGGGTCATGAGGTCCTTTTTGGTAACCCTGGAAGCATTTAAAGTATTTCCTGCTCCAGGTTCAAGGGACACCTGGGAAGCAGAGCACGACAGAATGGGTTATGTTGGTCTTTTGCAGTCAGTCTAGTATTGATGGGAATGAAGTCTTAGCCCTTGCCCATGATTCTGAGATCCAACTAGTCACTCACTCATGGGTCTGTGACATAGGCTCAGAGCGATGGCTCTCTGGAATATAGCATAGATTGCAGATTTAGCACCTCAGGAATGGAAGGACCCTAAAAGTCTTCTATCCAAAGCAGCTTATTTCAATTTGATCCTAATTCAAGTTCTTTTAAAATGTACCCAACAGGGGGCACCTGGGTGGCTCAGTTGGTTAAGCATCTGACTTCAGCTCAGGTTATGATCTTATTGTTCGTGGGTTCCAGCCCTGTGTTGGGCTTTCTGCTGTCAACACAGATCCCACTTTGGATCCTCTGCCCCGCCCCCCCCCACTACTCTCCTGTTTGTGCAACTCCTTCTCTCTCTCAAAAGTAAATGTTTTTAAAAAGATTCTTTCTCCCACTCCCTCTGCCCTGCTCGCATTCTCTCCCTCCCACCCTCTCTCTCTCTCTCAAATAAAATAAATTAAAAATAAACTTTTCTTAAAAATAAACAAATAAATAAAATATACCCAACAAATGGCCTTTTAGCCTCTGGGTAAATACATCAGTGACAGGGATGGAGAAGTCTTCCTAAGTCAGTTTGTCTCTTCTTTCAAGACCTCTGCAGTATGGAGCTGAAATAATTTTTCCGCAGCTCCAACTTAATCAGTGTATTTATATTGTCCCCCAACTCAAGAATATTGCTTTATTCTCTCTCCTAAATCTTCAGTTTCTTCTCTCTGCTGCCTTTTGAGCTGCCAGGCACTGTGGTGGCTGATGAAGATATGGAGACAAATTAGATACCATCCCTGCCCTCAGGAGTTCTCAGTCTAGTGAGAGAGTTCAACATGTACACAGATAATTACAACAGTATGGTATGCTCTACAATGGAGGTATGTACAAGATACTATGGGGTTCAGAAGAGAACTCATTTGATTGAGTGTGAAGATGTCTGAGGTTGGAGGAACTGATGCTTAAGTGGATTCTTATAGGAAGTAAAGGTTGGCCAGGCAGAAAACAGAGAAGGACCTTTTAAGCAAAGGCATGGACACTGGAAATAGAATGATGAAATGGGGGACTACAAGTAGTTACTAAAACTAGGTTAGAAACGTAGGCTGAGAATAGATCCTAATAAGTATTCCATGAACTTTGAATTTCATTTGCAGAGTTTAAGTAGGGGATGCTTTTGAAGGTCACTTTGGCAGTACTATAGAGGATGTTCTAGAAGGTTTTCAAGTCTGGACAGGGAGATTAGTTAGAAATATACCATAGTAGGGAAGATGATAAATGATCGAAGGCTAGAAGGACTGGGAGTGGAGAAGAGAGGATAACCTCTTAAATAAGAGGCTATAAGAACATGGACTATTCTAGAACATGGGAAAAATAAGGCTCTCAGACTTTGGCAAATGTGCATCCATCTACTTCCATCCCTGGCCTTGTTGAGATTCTTTCATGTTTATTTTTATTATTTTTTAAATGTTTATTTGAGAGAGAGAGAAAGTGGGAGTGGGGAGAGGCAGAGAGTGAGAGAATTCTCAGCAGGCTCCACACTGTCAGCATAGACCCCAGCATGGAGTCCATCTCACAAACCATGAGATCATGACCCGAGCTGAAATCAGGAGTCAGACATTTAACTGACTGAGCCACATAGGCACCCCATCCTCTCGTGTTTTTTAGATGAGCATTGCTATTGGTTTCTTTTGGACCAGAGCTTGATTGTACAGATTTTATAAGTTTCATTCTGGGATGGAAGCTGTATATGAAATGGTGATTCTCAGAAAGACATCTGAACAGCTGCAGACCTCTAATAGTATTACTTAGTTCCTCGCCCTTCTCATCAGTAGCATGTTTCCCTTACTATCACATTGTCTCCCAAATTCAGAGAGGAAGCTTTACCCTCTAAACCCCATTCAGGGATGAAATGGCCCTTGTTGTGACTATCTCAATTGTTTTATTTGTTGAATGAAAAAATGAATCATCAACAGACATTAATTGGGCTCCTGCTCTGTGTTCTCCATGGACTCAGCGTAGGGATTTTACAACGTTTGTGGTTATATCTCTAAGCAAAATACATTCAGTAATAAAAAATCTAAACATATTCAGTTTTCATTTCCTCTTTTCTTAAAGCAATATAAAAATGTTCTTTGGACAATTCTCCATTTAAGGCTCAGAGTAGTGAACTTACGGATTCAGAGAATGGATTTCTGTGACTAGAATGATTAATGGGAGATTATATTTTAGACCTTATGTATTTTCAGTGGACCTTATGTAAGTAGCCATCCTAGAGGGCAGTAAGGGGAAGAAGGATTGGGAGAGGAAGCTCTGAGTAAAACAGCAAAGCAGTACGGTAAGAGTCTGGGCCTTGGGACTAAATAGCCTAGGCTCAAATCTGCTCCTGAATGCTCACCAGTGTGGTGTTGAGCATGTTTTGTCGTCTCTCTGGGACTTGCCTCTCTTATTTAAAGTAGGGGTAACAATTTCTTCTGTGATGATTTGGGTGGGGAAGGGGGTGGGTGTAAGGATTTAATGGGATTATTTATGTGCATTGCTTAGAACAAGTCTGGAATGAGCTAAATGCTATTATCAACTGTCATTGCTGCTGATAATGATGTTGACCATGTCTGGGATTAAAAGAAGATAGTTAACCAGAGGTGCTTATGTTTTACATTGTCAATGAGGCTCTTGGGGTGTGAGAAAGAAAGGGAAACTAACTGACCTGAAGGTTTTCAATGGTATGCTAGTATGAAGTCAACTCTGCCTTCTTTTTCTTCTCTGCCAAATAGGTTGGGAAACCAGATGAATTTTGTCCATGCCCTGATCACTAATCTATTGCCTTTGCTCTTATTTCCAAATAGAAACCTGTTGAAAAGTTGTGTTACACCTGAATAAAGGTTGTGCTAAAAATGTAGAAAAATGCTTTGGAGTTGGTCAAAACTGGACTTGAAACCTGACTCAACTGCTTACTAGCTGTGTGATCTAAGGCATGTTACTTAACCTCACTGAACCTCAGTTTCTTCATTGAATATAATAATTAATTTGCAGGGTTTTTCTGAGGATATTTGTGAAATGTATGTCATAAGCACTCTCTAAGTCATAGCTGTCATTGTTAGTTCTTGGGATACCCACCACGTGACAGAAACAACAGCAGGCCCTGGTGGCTGGGAGGACTGCATGGATCCAACCTCAACCTGGAGTTGTGCTCTTCTGAAGAAATCCTACTCGGATGGATATAATACAACCTGCTAAGTGTCCTCGCACTTATCAGGTTGTATTATCATTGTCCGTGTCTATGGCTCTCGTCTACCAGACTCTAAATTCCTTACAGGCAAGGACAGTGCCTTGTTCATCTTTGTATTCGGTGCCTAATCCCGTGCACATTGTAGGCCTCATTAAATGTTTGTTGAATGAAAAAATGAATCATCAACAGACATTAATTGGGCGCCTGCTCTGTGATCTCCATGGGCTCAGCTTTTCCCTGCCAGTTGCCTACAACGTCCAAGCTGTCTTCAGTATACTTTCTCCTGGAGCTTACTTCTATCTTCTCACTCTTTTGCTGAGGACTTTTTCTGTGTAGTGCAAGGATAGCAGATATACTTCATCTCAAGTACCATCTCAATCGGTCGATAGTACCTGCCTCGATTATGTTTCACAAAAAGGATGCTGAAGCCAGGTCTCAGTTCAGTGCGAAAGAGAGTTACAATTAATTAGTGATGTTTGCTGAGGGTGGGAGAAGGGTGAATAGCAGCCTAAGTGCCGCATATATGTTATATTTAATATTATGTTTTCCATGAAATACTCTGTTTCTATGCCTGCATTTTAGTCTTGGCTACTTGCAGATGTTGCATGGCTGCTGTTGCTGCTGCTGCTGCCGCTACTACTACAACAGTTGCTGCTGGTTGCTCCTTGGGTAGGACCAAAGTGATCATTGATCAGAAACTTCATCCTCACAGTCTGGGATTTGCTCCTGTGGCTGGTATTCACAGTTTACCCTTTCAACTTTACCTCAGCTATCCCCTTACCTACAGTGACAGGTAGGCCTCCACTTTCCATTTACCACTCAACAGGCTCCTATTTCCTTTTCCTTCTTTAGTCTGATTAATGACTCTTGTTCGATGAGAAGCCTTCTTTCTGGTAGAAGATGCGACAACTAGAGTACAAGCTAAAAGATTCCGTCAGGGCACTACAGTGAGTCGTATAAACTTCCCTTTAATGTGGGAGAAAACAGAGTGTGCTTGAAGATTTGGGGGCAGGAAGAACAGAGAAGGGAGTCGTTGTTGGGGGAGAGAAAGATGCTAACAGATGGAATAAGTTTCTGAAAAATGATGGAGTGAGGGAGGGTGAAACGTATGGCTCTCAAATATGTATGGGGAGAGGGAAAGTCTCAGATGAAAGTAATTACCTCCACACTGGAGCATAGGGATAGGAGTCAGGAGGAACATGTGACAAGGGTGTTGAAAATTTGTAATTCTTGAGGTGGATGATGGAGAGGAAGCTGACCAGAGAGGATTATGGGGACAAACAAGAGTCCAACGGATATTTGGGCCAAAAGGCTAGAGTGGGGCCTTTCAGTCTATTAAAATGAGATACTATTATATTAAAATTGTATATTAAAGTGAGAAACTGGAAACTCAGGAAACTTTAAAGGGATCTTGGGCCACCCATCACAAGTAACTTGATTGCCTGGGACTGACCTTTATTGGTTGAGGGATGGACAGCTAGCAAGAGAGGGGCTACACAGAAATGAATTTGAAACTCCAGACTATATGTGGAAGGAAGTTAGATCAGAAGTGAGCTCAAAGTCTGTGAATGAAAAAAGGCCCTAGTGTGATCAAGATGGGTGTTGGGTAGTTGGAAAATTGGAATGATAGAACCTGTAAAAAGTGGATTTTGAGATTTTAAGATTGCAAAGCCGGAGGGGTCAAGATAACTTGTGAAGCAAGGATGTCAGATGGCCAGTTACATAAATACTGAAGTGACCAAGAACTGTAGCAAAAGCCAAGCTGGGAATGAATGCTGGGGGCCAGATATAACAGGCTTCGATGCCTGAGGAATGATTTAGAGATTGGTACATGGCAACTGTGTAGGTGCAAGAAAAGAAGGATGTAGTGGGATAGTTGTATGAGCCACGGAAGAGTGGTAGGGATCATTAGAAGTTACCAAAACCAGGATCTGCACATTGCACTGAGGCCTTGGCTTGCAGAATGCTGAGCTAAAATGATCCCGTCCTCTATCCGGTGCTTGGCTCTATACCCAGCACCTTGCTGTTTGCTAACCATTTACCCCTTCTGGGTCTGTCACATATCAGGTGTGAGAGAATGAGCAGCATTCCCAAGCAAGGACAGCTAGGGGAGCTGCTGGCCCTTGGAACTGATGGAATACTGTGGTCGTCTCAATAGACTGGTCAGCTTAAAGTGGCATCAAAAGATTTCGTTCAGACCCAGATTTTTCCTTGACCTTGACCTAACTTTATCCACATGGTACAAGCTTGTGTTGGCTGTTCATAATGAACTTTGGCTTCTGAGCCTCTAACTTGAGAAATATGCTAGAACTGTCCTTTAAAAAACAACAGGCACAGTACGTTAAAAATACAGATTGATTAGCTAGAACCAGAGGGTCTTGTTACCTAATTGAGCTTTTAAGATAAAGGATAGACCAAAGAAAGCTCCCATCAATGGGTGAGTAACAACAACACTTGGTGACAACTACTCTAAGATCAGGATACATCTAGTTTAGTGGCCATATTGTACATCCCTGTGCTGTTGGGAAGGAGAGCTGGAAATTGATTCAGAGAGATGTCCCTTAGGACTTGGTATGTAAAGTTTAGGAGAAAGTTTCTGTGAATCCTGTGACATTGCATGTCATCGTTTTTCCTCTGTTACAGTCTTTGAATGAGTCAATATTTCAATGAAGGGGTAGGAGCCCCTGAGATAGAGTGCCCAGACCCTCAGATGATGCATCCCCTCCTTTGGAGGCCGCTTTATATTTATTCCTCAGGAGGATCTGGTAGAAGACTTCATGTGAGAGAGAAGAAAAAGAAGCAGAGAATGACTACAGCCTGTCTTCATATGGGCTTCACAAAACTTGACTCAACAGAGGGATCACTCTCTTGAGACTCTCCAGACCACAGGTTGCTGTTTTTAATCTCATGCTCAGCCCTCTCAGCTGCTTCCTGCATTCATAAATTGTACTGTATGTGCATATATGAACTATCATTTCCCATAAAGAGTACTGCATGTTCACACCAAAAAAAATATATAGATATAGATATACCTTACCCTAAAATAAGGTATAATGCTTGCTCTGTTAGGTTTCCAAAAGTCACAAATTGCTGGATCCCCACTGCTGTAGTATAGGTCACCAGAGATGAGTTTGGGTTTCATCAGCAAAGGACCCCAGCTTCATGGAAGGAAGGCAGTCAATGGACTTGAAAGTAACCCCTATCCCTGCACTCATGTTATTTCTTTTTCCTTCAGCCCCTTAACTAAGATACCACTGATGAAAGCAAACAAAAGCCATACTTTCCCCTTCTATTGACACTTTTCTGGCCCATGTATATGCCTTTAGGAGTCACTCTCTCTTTCATTAGCACTTCCTTCTTCCCATCTCTTAAGACCTAGAGAGTCGTGAATGCTAGCGTTGGGGTTGAACTTGTCACACCTGCCTCCTGCAGTTGGGGAATGCTAATGTTAATCAGCCTGATACCCACCCCAACCTGATAATTATGGCAGCCACTGGAGAAGCTGTAACCAAGGCCAGCAACCGTATGGACCCCAGTCCTAGGACTCACTCCTGATGTCTCAACTGATCGTGAAAAACTAGTAGCGGGTCTTGCCCCAGTCAAGCTCCCCTTCTGAGTTTGTCATCAGAGATCAGGACTTGTCTTAGGGCCTATGTTACATAAGGACAGATACGGGTTAATCATAAACGGTATTAGGAGTCCCGGTTACCTTTTATCTCTCTTGGGGATGGGCAGGATAGGGCATAAGGATAAGTGGTAAGTCTTGTGCCTTTCAAATATATTCCCAGTGATTCCTCAGGACACCCTTAGTCATACCATCTGGTGCCTTATCCTGGGTCTCGCTTCTTCAGAGCTTTTCTAGTGCATTCCTTGCTCTCACTAACCACCTTTTATTTCCTGTCCTACCCTGATGGGTTTCAGCAGATGTTTTTTCTTTTCCCTTCTTCAGGCCATCTGTAACAGCCTTCATCTGAGAGGAGCCTTGTTGTGAATGAGTGAATGAAGCCTCAGTGAGTGAGTGGAGTGACATCCATGTTTTTCTATGGATATAAGGAGAAATAAGGAAGCTATGAAATCTCATTATGAAGTAACAAAAATTTGACATTTTAGTGGATATTGGACCTAGAGGCCTACATGAATGAAGGAAGCAAACCTGACATTCTGATGTCTGAGTGAAGATAGGAGTGAACTCCTTATTGCCCTTAGTAATGGAGGAAGAGAGGGGAGAAAAATGTGGGAGGTCATAACAATTCTTCACTTCAGTGGAGGAAGTGCTAAGACTTACTTCATAAACCAGTAACTTCTTAAGGTGGATTGGAGAAGAGTTGTTGCACTGCACTATTTCTTTTGCTATTTGTGTGAAGTCACTGCCAAGCACTCTTCTCAGGTAGAGCTGCCTTTGTGGAGGTTTCCATTGACTCCTAATGAGGAACAACCTGGAACAAGGTTTGCAACTTAGAACTCGGAGTTTTAAAGGGGTCGAGGACAGAGGAGATAACACAGGTAGCGCCAGATAGCCTAGTTTTTCCTATAGGATGGGTAGGGTAGAGGCAGCAGGCACAATGATTCTAGGCAACTCCAAACCCCTGGCAAGGCATAAGGAAACCGTACATAATGAAAGGTCAGCCCTTAGACCTATTGATTTGTCATTCCCCAGAGCATGATATATTATCTAGAAGAACAAGGAGAGCTGCTTAGGAGAAGATTCTAAAAGATCTTTCAGAGAACAGATTTAGAAGAGGGAGAGCTTCCCATTATGTAATATGGGCATTACAGCTTTTAAAGACCTCTGTTCCCTACCTAGATCACAGAGGTTGATACTAGTGTCAGTCTGTAGCTGAATAGACCAGTGTTAGTTTAGAAGTATCATGCTCTTGGAAAGATCCTGCCACTCTCTCTGACAGGTGTTCAGCTGCAATACAAGTCTAGTACTTGAAGAAGCAAAGAGGATAACAAGCCTCCAGGGGATGACAGTTCAGTCTTCTAAGTGAACATAGCAACAGAAGAGATCACAGACTTAGCTGGATTGGGCTGAGCTTGTTTGTTCGTTCAAAATTTAAAAAAGACTTTTTTTTCTTGATGATAAAAGTAACATGATCACTGTTGAAAAATGAAATGAATGGTATAAATTAAAAAGTAAAGAACTCCTGTACTCTTACAACCGAGAAAACAACTGAACATTTGAGTGTGTTTCCCTTTACTCTTGTAAAAAGGAGTGTATGGAACAGAATTATTAAAGTTTTTATTTTAATTCCAGTTAGTCAACATACAGCGGTCTGTTTCACGTGTATAACTTAAAATCAAAATTCACGTTTTGTATCTGTTCTCTAAATTTTTTCATTTGAAAATTAACACTGAACGTATTTCTACATTATTGGCATTCTTTGAAAACACAGTATTAAGTGTTACATGATATTTCATATGAGTCTAACAAAATTTATGTAGATAATCACATGCTGCTGGACACTGTGGTATTACCAATTTTACATGTAAAATATAACAAACATCGTTGTGCATTGTTATGTGCATTTCTAATTATTTCTTTGCAATAAATTTTCAGAATTGGAATCACTGAGTTTGACTAAGAGTATATTATTAAGGATTCGGGGAGGAGGCAAGATGGCAGAGAAGTAGGGAGCTCCATACATTTCACTCACCCCCATGTCTCACATGGAGAAGGCCTGAAGTCATAGGAACCCTTACAGAATCCAGCAGTTTGGGAGGAAAAGGAGACAGAGTCTGTTGACAAAACCTTATAGCGTGAGTGTGAACTGGGGAAGATAAAATCGGCCCAGGACCAGAGACACAGAGGGAGGGAGGATTCCCCCTTTGCGGGGAGTCTAGAGGGGAAAGAGAGTGGCCGAAACTGCTCAAGCCACTGTACCTGTCGCTGGAGAAGAGAAAAACCTCCGCTTGGGACACAGAGGGATCTGGTTTCCTACTCTCTAGCTGACCCTAGGCGGGACGCACTCGTCCCAGGCGACCCCGGGTGAAACTGCTCCTCTCTCGCCAGCCCGACCTGGAGGGAACAGGAGCAGTGGTTTCCATCTCCATCCCCAGGGGAAAGGTGAGAGGCTTGAAACTGCTCTGAGAGACTGGCCTGCGAGTTTATATTTCAGGCAATATCAATGGGGCGCGCGGACTGAGATTTGGAAACAAGGCCTGGCTTGGGATATAGAGCACCGCCCACTTTGGCTACGCCCCCGGCACAGGGAGATCACACCCAAAAGAGTGAATAGCAATGCTTGGTTTGAGAAGGGACTGGGGCGCTGCCATTTTTCTCCCCACAACCACCAAGGCAGGACCCCTGTGGGACACACCGGACCAAATCACACCCGTCCCCACTAGAGAGCTGCCCTCTCCTTCCTTTTCTTTTTTTTTTTTTTTTAACCGGAGCCTGGGCAAGACCAATATGGATGCACAGCCCTGATTAATTCTGGTCACTGGCTTGCTTAAACAGTTATATTTAATGCATTCTCTAGATTTAAATTCCACACTTCCACCGCTACCTTTTTATCTCTTTCTCTCTTGAGTAATCGGACTAAATAGTTTCTCTGAGTAGCATTATCATCATTTCTTTCGCCTCCTCTCCAAACATATTCCCCCTTTTCTCTTTGAATTATGCCTCTTGGTCTTTCTGCCTGTTCATTTCATTTCCAATTTAGCTTCCTCCCCGCCCTGTCATTTCTCTCTTTGTATATGCTCTTTGACCAGCACTGTCCTATGTCTATTGGGTCTTTTCTTTTTTCCTTTTTTCTTTTTTATGTACTTTTATTATTCATCTTCCCTCCTTCCTCTTTTCTTTTTTTCTTTTTTCTTTCTTTTTTTTTTTTGTATGTGTTCCTTCCTTTTTTTCTTTCTCTTTTTCCCTTTTGGTTTGCTTGTTTATTGGATTTGTCGGTGCACTTGTGTGCCCTTGTTCCCTGTGTGTTTGTCTGTTTTCTTTTCCAGGGCTACCTCAAGAAACAAGCCAAAGTACACATGGTGGAGAGTCTCAAATACCACTACAAGTAGGAAAATAAAATAACCAAGGTCTCAACAAGAGAGACAAAGAGACACCATTCAAAGAACACTTTCGAAATGGATAGGCCCTGGACAGTCAAATAGCCTTCTTTGGTACAGCAGCACTCACTGGTGCAGAGTGCATAACAAGCTTTTAAAACTAACAAGAGATAGTGCTCGCTTTGGCAGCACATATACTAAAAAAATAAAAAAAACCCAAAAAACTAACAAGACATAGAAAGCTAACCAAAATGAGGAAACGGAAAAACTCTCCTCCAAAGAAATTCCAGGAAGAATTGACAGCTAAAGAACTACTCAAAACAGATAGAAGCAAAATAACTGAACAAGAATTTAGAACAACAGTCATAAAATTAATCGCTGGGCTTGAAAAAGGCATGGAAGATATCAGAGAAACTATTGCTACAAAGAATATGGAGCTTAACAATAGTTGTGATGAATTAAAAAATGCTATAAATAAGATGTAAAATAAAATGGAGGTGTCCAATGCACGGATTGAAGAGGCAGAAAGGAGAATAAGTGCTTTAGAAGACACAATTAATGAAAAAGAGGAAGCTGATAAACCACATCTTACCATGGAATACTACATGGCAATGAGAAACAATGAAATCTGGCCATGTGTAGCAACATGGATGGACCTTGAGGGTGTTATGCTGAGCGAAATAAGTCAGGCAGAGAAGGACAAATACCATATGTTTGCACGTATAGGAGGATTAGGAGGAACTTGACGGAGGACCAAGGGGGAGAAGAAGGGCGGAAATGGTGGGGGAAAGGGAGAGAGGCAAACCATGAGAGACTCTTGAATGCTGACAAAAACTGAGGACTGATGGATGTGGGGGGGAGGGGGGAATGGGCATGAAGGAGGGCACTTTGGGGATGAGCACTGAGTGTTATGTAGAAACTAATTTGACAATAAACTATTTGTAAAAAAAAAAAAAAAAAAAGAAATACATGTAAAAAAAAAAAAAGAAAAAGAGGAAGCTGAGAAAAAGAGAAACTGATACAGGAACACAAAAGGAGAGTTCGAGAGCTCAATACAGTCACACAAAACAGAATTCCAGCAAAGAAAGAGAGGGAAAGGTGTGGAAGGAGTCCTTGAACAAATTATAGCAGAGAACTTCCCCAATCTGGGGAAGGAAACAGATGTTGAAACCTAAGAGGCACAGAGAACTCCCCTCAGACGTAACTTGAATCGATCTGCACGACATATCATAGTGAAATTGGCAAAATATAAGGACAAAGAGAATTCTAAAAGCAGCTAGGGAGGAAAGGGCCCTAACATACAAAGGGAAACCTATCAGAGTGGTAACAGACCTATCTACTGAAACTTGGCAGGCCAGAAAAGAATGGCAAGAAATCTTTAATGTGATGCACAGAAAAAATATGCAGCCAAGAATCCTATATCCAGCAAACCTGTCATTCAGAACAGAAGGAGAGATAAAAGTCTTTCCAAATAAACAAAAATTGAAAGAATTCGTCACCACTAAACCAGCCCTATAAGAAATCCTGAAAGGGACTCTCTGAAGAAAGTGTTGCAAGGAACGCAAGACACCAGACACACTACCACAAGCATAAATCCCAGAAAGGACACAATGACTCTAAACCGATATATTTCAACAATAATACTGAATGTAAATGGACTAAATGTCCCAATCACAAGACATAGGGTAGCAGCATGGATAAAAAAACAAAGTCCATCTATTTGCTGTCTACAAGAAACTAGTTTTAGACTGGAGGACACCTTCAGATTGAAAGTAAGGGGATGGAGAAATCTCTATCATGCTATTGGAAGTCAAAAGAAAGCTGGAGTAGTTATACTTATATCAGACAAACTGGACTTTAAAATAAATGCACTAACAAGGGATTAAGAAGGGCATTACAGGGTCTATCCATCAGGAAAAGCTAACAATTATAAATGTCTACGCACCAAATATGGGAGCACTTACATACATAAAACAATGACAAGTAGAAACACTCTTATTGATAAGAATATGCTAATAGCAGTGTACTTTATTTTTATTTTATTTATTCCTAGATATTAAGAACCATATGCTCAGTACTCTATAGCAGTTTTTTTTTTACAAATAGTTTATTGTCAAGTTGGTTTCCATATAACACCCAGTGCTCATCCTCACAAGTGCCCTCCTCCATGTCCATCTCCCCCTTCCCCCCTCACACCCATCAGTCCTCAGTTTGTTCTCAGCATTCAAAAGTCTCTCATGGTTTGCCTCTCTCCCTCTCCCACACTATTTCCCCTCTTCTTCTCCCTCATGGTCCTCCGTTAAGTTCCTCCTAATCCTCCTGTACATGCAAACATATGGTATCTGTCCTTCTCTGCCTCACTTATTTCGCTCAGCATAACACCTTCAAGGTCCATCCATGTTGCTACACATGGCCAGATTGCATTCTTTCTCATTGCCATGTAGTATTCCATCGTATAGATAAACCACATCTTCTTGATCCATTCGTCCGTTGATGGACACTTAGGCTCTTTCCATGTTTTGGCTATTGTTGAAAGTGCTGCTATGACATTGGGGTACATGTGCCCCTATGCATCAGCATTTCTGTATCCCTTGGGTAAATTCCTAGCAGTGCTATTGCTGGGTCATAGGGGAGTTCTATTGTTAATTTTTTGAGGAACCTCCACACTTTTCCAGAGGGGCTGCACCAGTTTACATTCCCACCAACAGTGTAGGAGGGTGCCCGTTTCTCCACATCCTCGCCAGCATCTAGAGTTCTCTGATTTGCTCATTTTAGCCACTCTGACTGGCGTGAGGTGTTATCTCAGTGTGGTTTTGATTTGTATTTCCCTGATGAGGAGGGATGCTGAGCATCGTTTCATATGTCTGTTGGCCATCTGGATGTCCTTTTGGAAAAGTGTCTGTCTTATCTTCTGCCCATTTCTTTACTGGGTTGTTTGTTTTTCGGGTGTGGAGTTTGATGAGTTCCTTATAGATTTTGGATATTAACCCTTTATCTGATATGTCATTTGCAACGATCTTTTCCCATTCCATTGGTTGCCTATTAGTTTTATGGATTGTTTTCTTTGCTGTGCAGAAGCTTTTAATTTTGATGAGGTCAGCAGGGGACTTTAATACTCCACTTACAGCAATGGATAGATCAATCAGACAGAAAATCACTAAAGACACAATGGACTTGAATGACACATTGGAACAGATGCATTTGACAGATATATTTACAACTCTACATCCTGAGGCCATGGAATTCACTTTCTTCTCAAATGCACATGGCACATTCTCTAAGATAGATGACATACTGG